AATATCAAGCTAGTGATGCAAGCAAACTAGATTGAAGAAACCAGATAAGGAGAACGATGGGAAACACTATAAGCAAACTCGATTCAAATAGTAGCAATCATCTATAAGCACAAAACCGATGGAAAAACTAGAAGAGAGATCAAAAGAAAAAGAAATTTAAAACGTCGCTATCCTCATAACATCCGACAGAACGGTTTCCTCACATGCATCGAAATGTAGGTTAAGTAAAGTATGTGCTTAGGTCTAGCAAACTGTTGACCCGTAATGTTAAAACAAAAAGAAAAAAAAATCAGTACCTATTCAGCGACATTCCTCGCACGTTGGCGCCGCCCTCTCTCTCCCACGATCTCGTAATCAGATGTCTTCCATTCCTCGCACGTCGTTGAAGTGACTTTCACGATCTTTGCACGACTTGTGTCGTTAAAATGAGGGAGAAAGGGGCACTCGCGGGACACTACTTCCTTCCCTCTCTCACGACCAAACTCCCGCACACAGAGCTCCTTCTCCGACTTCTTGTCCGATCAGAAGTTACGACATTTTGAATCGGAAGCAAGATCGGGAGCTCGCCTGTGAAGGTAACTCTCTCCCCGTCGAGCACTCCTCCGGCTCCTTCTGGCTGTTCGACCCCGCTCCATTACCGACGTTTCCTTCGAGTCGAATTGGAAGTTACGACATTTTGATCGGGTGCAAGAACAGAGCTCGCCGCCTGAGAAGGTAACTTTCTCCCGTTCGGCATCTTCTTCGGCCGAATCCCGTAATCCGCCGAACCGAGAGATTGGGGAGGGAGAGGTATAATTTATTTTAATTGTAATTACTTTAATTAATTTTAATTAATTACAGTTGTTTATTTTTAATTACCACAGTCAGTACACCTGTGTACAAATGCAACCCGATGTTACAAAAAAGAACACCCTTGTGGAAGGAAGAGAATATTTGAACAAATTAAAAACGAAAACTTCTTTGTATCCCAAACCTCATTCTTAGTCTATTACTTAAGAAGAAAATTAGTTCTGGTGCCCAACACAACCGGAAATAACAAGCCCACTACGCACGAAGAGCCTAAAAGGATTCTCCCCAAATCAGTATCACGACTCCAAGTTCAGGAAAACCTCCCCCGGTATTGAGAAAGGGGGAGTTCAATAATCAAAGACAGCAGCCACCTGGATCTGCAACATATACACGCAGACAGACAAGCGCGTCTACAACATTCATATTCGCGCCTTCAAGGGCTAAAATCAAAGAAAATCATGAACAAAAGCACAAAAGTCCTATGAAAACCCGATCCCTATCATAAGTGAAGGTCGACAGTTCAATCAAATGGAAATGACCACCAACACCCCGATATGGCCGTGTTGATGCTTAATCTCAACCAGAGGATCCACGAATAATTTCAAAAATAACCCTCAGAAACCTATACAATAATTCAAATTAAATTTTATCAAGTGACCTCAAGTCACCTCCATTGATAGACCGGTGTAATGTGCAGATCTCAACCGGAAGGGGTAACCCACAGAATATTTCAGATCTCACTCAAGTGTCTATCAATACCCAAATTCAAGATATTTAAATTCGAAAATCAAACCATCAATCACTCCAAGCAAAATTCATCCACACCGCTCCGCAACAGTCTGCCAAGGGTTGTACAAAATTCAAATTAACTCTACTCACAAAGAGCCAAATGCTGAGTCGAAAAATGATCACTAGGATCCATTCACAAACAACTCTGCCAAGTTAAAAGGACGTTGGTACGTGTTCCCTAACCACGCGGTATCTGCTCGCCAAAATGGCACGCGGATAAACGGTATACGAAATGACCCGGGGCCCTCTGAACCGAGTGTTTTTTGCCGCCAAATGAACCACAGATAGCGGTATTGGCCAAAGCCATACTCCTTATTGGCATCTAATCCTTGAGATATGATATTCAATAGGAAATGACGATAGGAGCACATAGCCCTCTGTCAGTAAGGTGGATTCCCAAATCTTGTCCCCTATAGCGAACACATCCCTCCCAGGTCTACAAGGTCCCTTGGACGAAGCAAACCCAGCTCCGACAAGGATCCTTCTGTCAGGTTGGTATCGACTACCTCCTCTGACTAAGTAGACCAGGGACCACGATCGCCAACCGGGACGACGGAACCATGGGATTCTTGATCGAGGCTCATCATCCATCCCAGCCCACCATCCGCTTTAATAGCAAATGTGCATCCAATTTCTAATTTTTAAATATCTAAGTATTCCAACCCAAAATCCAAAACCCAATTCTTCAATTCCCAGATATCCAAACTTTCAAATTCTCAAATCCAAATCCAGTTTTCAAATCCATACTCATTGCCGCTACTATATGCCAGATACACGTATTTATATACGATCTGATTAACGACTAGCTTAATCCAAAG